CATATATTTTTAGTTGTCCGATTAATTTCTTTCTATTTTTAGTAGAGAAGGGGTCTTACTCTTGCTCAGGCTGGTCTCCATCTCCTGACCTTGAGCGATCCACCCACCTCGGCCTCCCAGAGTGCTAGGATTACAGGTGTGAGCCACCACGCCTGGCCTACCACAATTTTTTTAAAAAAGAGATGGGATCCTCGGCAAGAGAGGGAAAAAGGGAAGAGAGCCGGCCCACGTACAAGGAGAAGGCGACAGTAACCAAATACAGGCAGAACATTCTGGTGAGGGGAGGTCAGACGGAGGCGGCCCTGGTGCAGGGAGACCGGGGAGGATGGGCTGGGCATGGAGAATGAATGAAGGAAAGGAAGGAGGGAGGGGGTGCGGAGGGCAGGCTGCACAGGGAGAGCAGAGGATCGGAATTTAGGGGAAGAAAGAAGGGCAGGTTTTGGAGGATTCCTCCGGGCTGTGGGAGCGGGTGGTCAGGTCACTCACGGCAGAAGGTGCTGTTCCGCCAGACAGGGGCCTGGCCGGCCTGGGCGCACAGGGATGCATAGGCCTGCAGGGAGTGGCACAGGGCCGTGGTGTCGCCCTTGGTCCCACACTGGCCATGCACGCAGCTGGCGAAGCTGGCCTGCGGGGGCACCACCTGGTGGCACTGAGAAAAGGATCCTGCAGGACGAGACAAGGCAGGGTGACGAAGCGAGAGAGCAGGAAGGGACAGAAACACGTGGCTTCTCTGGGGCTAAGTCAACACCCACTTCAATCGGAACCTAGATTTGTGGAGAACCCACTGCCTGAGACACACAGAAGGACCAGTCTATCGCAGCTCCCAGGAAGGTGCCCGCCGGCGAGCCCTGCGTTCCTATCACCTTCCTGGTGAGTTCACATCTGTCTCTGGCTTCGCTCCTTCTCCCACCCTGACCACTCCCTGCAGGGGACGTGTCTTACCCTGAGGGTCCATTAAGATGGCACAATTCTTATTCCAGATGTCTGCCATTTTGCCCTCTTGGCAGCCGGAGGGGCTGCCCCCCATGAGGAAGCAGCTGAAGGAGGAGAGGAGGGAAGGATGGAAACTGAGGGCCAAAGGAAGCTTCCCCCAAACTGAAGCAAAAGTGGAAGAGGAAAACAGGGAGGGGCACAGGAGAAGAGCACAAAACGGTGCCCTGGAGTAGGAAAGGCAGGAGATGCAGCAGGATGGAAAAGGCTAGCTCTCAGGGGGGACTTCCCAAGTGGGCTCTCCAAAGAGATCACTAAGCACAGGGGAAATCAGCAGGCTTGGGCATGGAAGTTGGAACCACTTTTCACCAACTCCAATTTCAGAGGGAATAAAGGGGAGATATTGGCCGGTTTCCTGCCAATAGGGAGTTCGGCGCCAGGGCAGTGGGGACACACGGGGACACCTCCAGCTGCCCCCAGGCTCTTCCTTAGGCCCAGCCCCTCCTGCCTGGCTCCTCCTACCCCAGCTCACCCAGGTTCAGAGGAGTCAGACAGCTTCCAGGAGGCCCCCAGCTGGATGGAATTTCCTGCGGGCTTCCTGTCTGGGCGCAGGTTGTCGTCCAAGCTGTTGTTGTTGTAGTTCCCTGGAGCAGGGAGCAGCTAATAGAGGACCTGCCAGCAGACCAGCCCCAGGGCCACCATCTCCCCGACCAGAAAAGGCACCCTCACTCCTCACTCAACATGTCAAGGTCAACACTTTCTTTCTCTTCTCCCGCCAGCTTCCCTTAACTCCTACCCCCCTGCCCGATGTCCTCAACACTATCAGTTGACCAGCACTTAGGATGCCTAATAGAGATGTGGGGGAGAGTGGGACCAGGCCATGTGCCTGCCCATTGTCCCAGCTCCCCCGAAGGGGCCCAGGGAACTCACCACACAGCCCACAGAGCTGGCCCGCGTAGGACGAGGGCACTGTCACTTCCACCAAGTGGACCCCGTCATAGCGAACTCGGAGCCCAAAGTTTGTGTAGAGGACAACAAAGGAGCCACTGAACCTCAGGGTCACCTGGCCTTCCAAAGGCCACACGGGTAGGGCCACCTGATGGCCGTTCAGCTGCAGAGGTGCGGAGGACATGGAAGGGGGAGTCAGGAAGGAACATGGGACAAACACACAACGGGGGCAGAAACCTGGGAGCAGGGGGTTGGGGGCAGGTGTTTCCCAGAGTGGGGAGGGTGTCCAAAGGAGGTAGGGCTGGGGGTGCTGCAGGGCACCCCCAGGGGCCCTAAAAAGCCAGACAGGCAGCACAGGGACAAGGAGTAGCAGAGGAGAGAGGCTGAGCAGGCTGAGTGGAGGGGTCTGGATGGGGGGAGGCACACACCATGACCTTGCAGCCTTTGAGCAGCGAGATTTGGAGGCCGAAGACCTGCACATGGACGGCTTTCACGAAGGAGGCCTCCGGGATCCCCCCGCGGTTCTCGTTGCTGGTACTCACAACAAAATAGTTCTCTTGGGGCCTGGACCAGCAAAGCTTGGTCAGGACGTAGGTGCAGGTGCCCATGAAGTGGTGCAGGGCTCCATCGAACGTCAGGTAGTGGGGGTCTCCCGAGGCAGTGCAGGTGGCAGCCCCTGGGGAGGAGAGGATGGCATTCAGAGACTCACTGCCCCACGCCCCGGAAGCCCTGACCCAGGGCTGCCAACTTGGTGCATCCATGTAGGGATGCGATGGTCCCCACGACCCATCCATGTCAAGGAGGAAGTCTCCCCTCCCCAACTCCACTCTCTGAGTCCTTGAAGATGCTGTCCCTGCTCCAGACAGCTGCTTCCCGGGCCCTGCTTGAGCCCAGCTCTCTGGGGAGGCTGCTTTGGGCAGGGCCATCCCCTTGCTTGAGGTCACCTGGGCAGCCCCTGGCTCACCTTCCACCTGACCGCTCACCTTGGGCATGGCAGCCATAGATGCCGTCCTGATGGCCACAGGTCTCCTGGGCCTTACATGTCCAGGGGTAGCAGTGAATTCTGTTGTTGCCTTCACAGACACAGAGCTGCATGCAGCCTGGCTTGTACCACTTCTCCCCAACCTGGGGAAGGGAGACGGGAAGGGAGGGAAGCAGTGTTTCCCAGGTTCTGACACCAGAGCCCACAGAGCTGTTCAGTTGGCTGGCCGGCCCACAAGAGCACCCTGTCTTCCCGAAGCTCCAAGATCAGCTGCAAAACCCCGGGATTCAGTCGCCGATTCAGTCACTTTATCAGGAGTTTGTCCACTACTTCAGCAGGTATTTTATTATCTGTCTGTATTGTGCTAGGTGTGCACCGGATGGACAATGTCCCTGTGCTCACAGCACTCACAATCCAGTGGGGGGCAGCAAACACGTGTACTAATAAATGACATGCTCCAACACCACGTGTACCCAAATCCAGCCATCGGGCACCCACCAGGGACACAGACAATAAACACTTCCTGCAAAGAGGCTTTCTAACTTTGATTATCGGGAAGGCTTCAAGGAGGAAGGAGCATTTCAACAGACCTCAAAGGAGGTAAAGGATTTGTAAAAGAAAATAAAAAAATCTCACCACCACCTTCCCCCAACTCCCTATACAAAAGGGAAGGTGAAGGCCTCAGGCCCCTGGGAAGAGCTGGCCCCAGAGATCATTCATGAAGGAAATTCCTGGCTGGCCTCCCATAACAAGAGCATGCAAATTGTGACTTTAGGTCCGCAGGCCAAGTCTAGCTGCTACAACTAAAATCTGCGGGATTCCTGCAAACAATGCATTACAAGTTTACCTGCCCAGGTGCAGAACAAAGACAAATCAGGATCAAGCACTCTTCCACCTAAGCAGGGACATCGGCATAACTGATGCTTCCTTCCCTCCCTTTGTTTCTTCTTAATTCACCTTATCTTACATAAAGTGTAGATTTTCCTGGGTCTCACAAGCATATAACCGTTTTTGTCTCACTACCCCACCCCCTGCTTTTTTTCTTCCTTTTTTGTATGCCTAACTCCCCTTAAATACTGCAAATTCCAAATCGCCCTTCGGAAAAACAGGCACAGATTTATTTGTCTGCGGTTTGTGTTTTTCCTGGGCGCATCCTCAACTTCAGCTTAACAAACCTCCATTGATCGAGATCTTTGCCTCAGTCACTCATTTGGGTGGACAGATTCCAATGGGTTGAGGCGGCTGAGTGGCAGAGCAGGGGGACGGACAGGGCTGACCCAGAGGTGGCACACGGTGGGGGGGTGTGGAGAGCACAGCCTGGATAAAGAGTGCCAGGCAGCCCAGCCTGGACTGGGCCAAGGGGGCAGAAAGCCAGGTGGACATCAGGTGGAGTGTCAGGAGGGCACTGGTGCCACCGCCAGGCCCTGGGAGAGGGCCCGTCAAAGAAAGAAGAAAGAAGCACCACAAACAAGGGTCTGGCTCCAAATGCTGCCTCTGAGAAGTCTGAAAACAGGAGCCCAGGAAAGGCCAAGTTCCTTCAGCTGAGAAAGGGCCCCTGGGTCAAGAGAAGACAGTGTTTGGAAGGAGTGCAGGTGACACACACAAGGTCCTCATGCCTTCGGAGGACAGAAACTCTGGGCAAAAAGATTCAGTGAAGTGATGGCAGAGAGGAGCAGCAGGAACGGTAGGAGGGGACAAAACTGGGGGTCTCAGGCTCTGCGAGGCAGTTGGGAAGTAACTGTGCCCGGATCTGCGGAGGGGGTTGGGGGTGGGGACTTAGCGGGGAAGGACCAGAGCTGAAGAAAGAGAAAGGGAAATTTGATCCCGGCCAAAATTTCCCTAATCCTAGCCCTAAACCCCGGGCTCCTCCTGCGCCCCCCAAGCCTTCTCACTCCCTGCCTCTCGCCCTCACTCGGGGCTGTTTCACAACAGGGAGAAAGTGCTTCCTGCTGAGAGGTCCACCCAGCCACTCACCTTGAAGTAGCTCCCATTGGAGTCGAGGCACCCACACTGGGATTGGGGGACGCAGTCAAGACCGCTGAGCACGAAGCCTGGGTTGCACTCGCAGGCCTCCACGCACCGGTCTGGACAGAACACGCTAGAGAACGCTGAATGGCAGGTGTCAGGGCACGGCTTGGCACACGGGGAGTACTTGCTGTTGGGCGGGCAGGCCAGAGCTGACGGAGGGAGAAGCTCGGGTGAGAAAGAGACAGACAAGCCACGGGGGAGAAAAGCGAATACGAGCTCCTTCAGAAGGCACCCGGGTGGCCATTCTTGAGAAGAGAGAGTGACTTCGAGAAGCTTGACCGAGGGGCCCAGCTGGCTCCCAGGGCCTCTTGGAAGCTGAGCAAGCTGCCTGCGCCAAGAGGCTGTCACTCGGATGCTAACACTCAGGAGCAGATCACTCCACGGGAAGAACAGCACAGCAGCGCTGCTGTGTAGACAAGCCCCAGGTGAGTAATCTGAGTGGAAGGCCCACCAGCGGGGTCAGACCATAAAGCAGCTTCCCCAGATAGCTGGGCCTACCAGGACTGGGAGGCAGCCGCAGAGCCTCCCCTCGCCTCGGGTCTACACCATGTGCACCTATCTGATGACTTGGGCTGCACATAAACACATCTGCACGTGCCCTGCACAGCCCCAGGTAGCCAAGAAGCATTTCAGAATTTGCAAGTGACTGTGATTTTCTCGGTGGAGATTTCCAACTCTGCAAATTTCCCCGTCCTGGTGTGGAAGTGAGGGGTTCCACCAGGTGTGCCCCAAGCCTACACCGACCCTCTTGTCCGTGTCTAAGGGAAGGGGTCCTGCATCTCTCCCCTGCTCCTTGGCACAACTCACGGCAGAACTGGGGCTCCCTCCAGGGCTTCACGGCGTAGCCGGCATCCTGGCAGCTCGTGGTCATGGCTGACATGTGGGCACACAGCATCTGCCGTAGCCCCTGGAAGTTGCACATGTCAAACATGCAGTTGTCAAAGAAGGAAGTGGCCTTTAGGTGAAGCAGGCATGCCCTGCAGAGAGAGGCCAAGTCAGAGGAAACGAGGGGCAGAACGTCCCGGCGCCCACCTCGGAGGACCCCAGCTGCCATGCCACCCCTCGTGGCCCCGCCTGCCCCCTTCATACTCAAATGGGCCGCGGGAGTCGACCAGCCGTCCACAGAACCCTGGCCCCGACATGTTGTTCTGCAAGGCTGAGTCACAGGATGGGGGACTTGTCTGGTTCTCCTGGCACCTGGAAGAGACCCACCCCACACGGCCCCAGGGCTGAGGCTCACTTCCAGCTCGGAGCCCCTCACCAAGCAGCCAGCAAGGCTGAGAGGCTCTGGCACAGCTCTGGCAGCCCCTGGAGGAGGACTTTGAGCATCGAACCCCAAAGGAGGGGGAACAACCTGCAGTCTCAGGGTAGAGAGGAGACAGGGACAACGTCAGTCGGTCTCACCAGGGTAGGGCCACAAGGGGACAGGAGGCCCGTGGGCCCCATAGCAGGGCTCCTCACTCACTCCGTGTCCTCGTCCTCAGCCATCTGCCAGCTTTTCCCCAGTTCCTCCTCGTCTCCGGCTGGGTGGCCATCTGGCTTCAGGTGGTCGTTGTTGATGTCACCATCATAGTTTCCACATAAACCACAGAGTTTGCTAGAATAGGTCCTGGCGGGACAGGAGAGAAGTTGGCGTTCATGCAGAGAAGAGGTCTTGGCCATCAGGGGACCACAGCAGAGAAGGCGATGCACTGGGAACCCTCTGTTCCCCCTACCCTGAGCCACCCATGCCCCCTCCTCCCCTCTGTGCACACCCCACTGTCCGGCTATGACAAAGCCCTCGCTGGCCCTAATACACTCCAGCTTATTCTTGAGGGTGTTGCTCCTGTTTCTATAAAGCCTTTTTCTGCCTTGTTCTGTCCAATGGGGAGCCACTCTTCCTTGGAGAATGGGATCAAGTGACTGCTTTTCTGAAAGCCCCCAGTGCTCATTAGCGACTCCTTCTAGCACATTCCCAAAGCATTGTATATACATCCTGCTATTTATCACACTGTCCTGAAACCATTTCCTCCTGTCTCCTCATCCAGAGGCCTGCCACAGAAGCTGGGTGCTTTCCACCCAGGGGAGGTACAGAAATGATTGAGTGGTGGTGTCTGAAATGCAAGGGGAAGAGGAGAGCGGACAGAAAGCAGTGGCAGCTGCCAGGCTGAAATGCCCCCTCACCTGGCCACACTCACAAACAGCTGCTGGTCGCCATCCCATCTCACCCACAAACCAAACTCTGTCTGCAGCTCCACAAATCGTCCACTTGCAGCCAGGAAGACGCCTTTAGAAGGTATGGCTGGGAGGGTGACTCGCTGACCCCCAACCTGGATGGTAGGGCAGAGGGAGGAGACAGAGACAGATCTGGGGGTCAAGGAGGACCCGAACAGACTCCCACATCCATGGCTGGAAGGCATTACATCCACCAGAGCGGCCTAACAACCTCTTCCACCTACAGTGGTTTGGAGCTTCACCGCCACTGTTGTATTTAACCAGTCCCTGGGAGGGTTCCGGGACTGGAGGAGCTGACCCAGAGGAGGCCACAGCAGCCCATAGGAATAGGCCACAGCCAGGGCCCGCAGGGGTGGAGGTGGAGGACAGGGCTCACCAATGTGCGTCTGCCCTTGAGCAGGGTGATGGTCGTCTCAGGCAGGGTCACGTAGACTTTGTTCAGGCAGGCCATGCCTTCCTGTCCCCATCCGTCATTCTTTGCTGTCACCCTGAAGAATGGATCTGGGTGGGGAGAGGGACGAAGAGAGCCCAGGGGCTCGCTCAGCACACATTTCTGAGCACCTGCCACTGGCGGAGCCCTGAGTGTGGCACTGCAGGGAGAGAGGGCACAGGGACACCAGCCCCACAGCTCAGGAAGAGAGGCAAGACCCAAACGGGAGCAGGGCATGACTGTCTGCCCCCTTCCAGAACAGCCTGCAACTTCTGCATATCTGTCTCCCCTCCATGCACTGGGACATCCCCAGGGCGTTTGTGCTCCTTTACCAGTCCCTTTTACAGTGACTATCCCTATGCTAGGAGGGCCCTCAATAAAAGCTGGCCCAGGGAGCAACTGATCAGGAGAACTATTTTAAACTGCATTTCCCCAGCAGCCTGGGCCTGAGAAAGTCCCTCTTCTGGGCTGGGCGTCTCAGCCCTTACCTTACAGAAGAACTCGCTCTAGTTTTGCCCCTTTCCCCATCTGCTCCCCGCCCTTTCCTGCCACCCACCATGCCCCCACACCCAGCAGCTCTGCCTGCAGACCCACGGCCGAGGCAGGCATCTCCAGGACCCTACCTGTTGAGTTGCCACAGGGTTGGGCCAAGATGTAGGTGCATCTGCCCATGAAGCCAAAGTGCCGCCCATCAAAGGTGACATAATGAGGGTCTCCATAGACCAAGCAGGTGGCACTGCCTGCCGAGGGGGGAGAGGGGACCAGGAGAAGCTGCTTCCACTGCCCCCCACCCTGGCTGGCCCGCCCACCCCAGCTCCTCTGCCCAAGCAAGGGATTTCCACTCTGACGGGCTGGCAGGCAGGGACAGCATAAGGGGGCTCTCACCATAGGGGTGGCATCCATACTGGCCGTTTTTCAGCTGGCACACTGTATGTGCCCCACACTGAGAGCTCTGGCACTCGATCCGGCTGCCAGGCCAGCAGTGGCAACGTTCTGTGCAGTTGGGGCTGAACCACTCTGCCCCAGTCTGGAAGCAAGGGATGCAGAGTCATAAAGCCATAGCTCTTGGGGCCCTTCCCCGGTCTCCCCACCATGCCAGGACAGAGGATGCTCTCCTGTGCAAAGACCTAAATTTGCTCATACTCTTCCTTACCTGATGTTCCCACCTACCACAGGACATTTGCACGTGCTGTTCTCTTATCCCGGAATGCTCTTCCCTCCCCTTTTCTAAATCATTCCTATGCAACCAGCAGAGTTCAACTCAAAGGTGGCTTGCTCAGGAAGACTTCCTCAGCTCTGGGTACCCTTTCGTCCGAGGACTTACCACAGCTGCACTTTATATGTATTTTTGTGATTGATCATAAACACCCCAGGTGAGGGTCCACACCTGTCTTTACTCACCATCTTAGCCCCAAGATGAGAGTTCTTGTTCAATAAATGTATGCTGAATGAAAGAGTAAACCAAGACCCAATGTGTCCCCTGAGAGCATTAGAAGGGCAAGGACCATGCCCTATTCACGGTGACCCCAAGGCCAGGAGAGCAGAAAGTACTAAATAAACATTTGTTAAATGCACAAATGAATATATCATGAGTTAATATATGCCTCCCAAGGCAGAGGGAAGAGATTCTTGGTGCTGATGGATGTGACAGATCTTTCTGCCCGGGCTACAGCTGAAGCTAATCCTGACACTGACACAGGGAGACCCAGGAGACTAGTTAAAGGGAGCTGGGGGAGGAAGCGGTCCCATAAGAGACAAGCAGGTGCTCTGATGTCACTGGGAAGAACAGCTAACACCTGGAGCTGAGAAGAGGCACTGGACATTAATGAAGCACTTAATTAATAGGTCGTATAACATTTATTATAAATTGCTAAAAATAGTAATTAACATTTATTAAGTAATTACTATGTATCAGGATCTAATTTCATCTTTACGAAAATTTTATAGGAGGTAGAAAATCTTATTGTGCACACTTTATAGATATGGTAACAGATTTAAAGAGGTAAAGAAGCTTACCCAACGTCACCCAGAACAAATGAGTGCTGGAGTGAGGACTGAAGCTCAGGTCTACCTAACCCTAGACCTGCACTGTTCAATATGGTGGCCGCCAGTCACATGTGGCCACTGAGCTCTTAAAACGTGGCCAGTCCGAATTCAGGTATGTCATAAGTGTAAAATGCACACTGGATTTTGAAGAGTTAGTATGGAAAAAAAAATAGAATGCAAACTATCTTATGAATAATTCTTTTTTGTCTATACATTGAAATGATAGTATTTTAATGTTTGGGATTGAGTAGATTATTGGAATTCACTTAACCTGTTTCCTTTTTTTTTTTTTTTTTTTGAGACAGAGTCTCACTGTGTTGCCCGGGCTAGAGTGAGTGCCGTGGCGTCATCCTAGCTCA